CCAAATCATTAAAAAAAGCAATCTTTCACACCCCTAAATACATTTTTCTCTCATGGAAAAGGCTTTGTGGACTTTGCAGACATCCTGGCCTGTGATGATCCTTGATAGTGCACTCAAATCATGCCAGTCTGCAACCAAACAATGGTCACCAAACCCAATACATGTCCCACTAAAACTTTGCAGATATATAAACACTGCATAAATGCCAAGCAGAAAAATATAAAAGTGTTTTTCCTAATACTGTACATGTTGCTGGCTGATGCAGTGGTATACTTAGCATATAATGGACCTGGGGCAGATCACCTTTTTTACCAGCACCCCTCATAGATCAAAATTTCGAATGTTGGGTGTGCCCAAATTGGGCTAACAGTGGAAGTGTCTTAAAGCGTTATGGTTAAATAAAACCTATTCGTTACGTGCATGGCACACGCAGTATGTCACAGTCCTTGTAACCACACAATATTTTAATTGCTGTACCAAAAGCATAGATACACAAAACAAATTACATATGCTCTTCAGCCTACCTTAAATAAGAGCTTCATGAAATAGTCAGTGACTACTTAGCAACCAGCAACCGCTGAGACAGTAAACACATTGATCAGAAGTATTGGGGGTCAGTGGCTGGCTGTAAAAATAATCCCTCCCCAGTATTGGTGGACAGTGGATAATTGTAGAATAGGGTAAGGTTAAAATCCCTTTGAGGTATTTGTTGCTGCCTATGTCCCCAATAATTTTTCTTTTCTGACTCTTGTGTCACCAATACAAGAACCGATTGGTCATTTCAGAGACAACAGCTGAAAATGAACAGGCTCTATTCCTTCACTTTAGGGCACCTCATATATATATTGGCTTGAGGCCATCACTCCCTGCATCCTTCATGAATAATAAAGTTACCAGAGGCTTCTTTTCTGGAGACTTAACAAAAATCTTCCTTCCTCTTCTCAAAGGACAGAGATCCAATCGCAGAGTTTCCAGCCTAGAACAGCTGAAGTCAGATGCGCAGGAAGAGTCATCAGGATCTACACTAGTCTCAGATTCCTCTCTGTGCAGCAGGAGCAATTGTTTAGGTGTCTTCCCAGTGTAGTTGTATTGCCCTCAGACCTTCTGCTACAGCCCATCCACTCTGAAATTAAACCTGTACGCCTAATGCAGTCAAAAATCACCAAATTGCTAAAATCTGATAAGACACCTGGGGGGTGCACTTCTGCAAAAGAATAGATAGATAATATCCAAATAGTTGTTATAATTATTGCTACTACAACTCTTGTTATTTTTAGGGATGTCCAGATACCAGTTCAGGTACCAGTGCCAATACTTGACATTTTCATGAGAACTACCAGGGTGGCAGCGGTTGCAGCTGGGACCGGGCTCTGGCGCTCCACCACTGTCCTGAAATCATTAGTCTGTATTGTTTCAGAAAAACTGTCACATGACACTAAACAAAAATGTATCAGTACTTGTATCTGTGAGTACTTGGGCGAGTATCAGTACTTGTACTTGGAAACTGGTATCAGTGCATCACTATATTTATATTTATAAAAACAAAATCCTACATTAAAACAGAGATGTACAAATCCCGGGAGCTCCGTGTGCTCCTTACAAATGACAGCGGCCTCCTAACTTTGGAATTTTTCTCTAGTCTAGTCTTGGAGCTCAAAAAGTATCTGTACTTGTACTTGTGCCGAGTACAGTATTTGGTATCGGTGCATCCCTAGTTATTTTACATATATATATTAAGGCTGAACTCTAGGCAGATATAAAATATTAAAATGAATGCAACTCTGTAATTAGTAATACATCAGAAAAGTATTTATTTTCAATACAAACAGTGTAAGTATTTGAATTTGACTTAGTATCCGCCTCTTACAGCCCCTGTACAGCACACAAAGCCTGTTAGTTAATGTGTTGACAAGAAGCATGCTGATAAGAGGAGAAAGCAGAGTGACATAAAGATGAGCTCATCACTGTGCCCAGGGCCGTCCCTATAATAAGGCAGTCTGAGGCTTTGCCTCAGGTGGCATCTCTTTGGGCCATGTGAGGGGCAGCAGGCAGAGTGGCATGGGTGCTTAATGTTTGCTGTTGCTAAGAGCCATACACATCCCCTGCCCAACTCTTAGCAACCGAGGACCCTATGGCAGCCTCCCACTCAATCCCTGGAAATCAATGACATCACTTGTTAGCAGAAGCTGGGACGGGACACTCTGACCAGCATAGCACCTACTCCCCCCCCCGCTTAGTATGCACCACCAGCACCCCAGCCTCCTCAGGCGGCGAAAAACCTAGAGACACCCCTGACTGTGCTGCTTATCCTTTCACTGTCTAGTCACAGGCTTAGGGGTGAGTCTGAGATGATCTGGACTCAAAGGGAGGGGCTGAATGATGTTGGCCATCAGATTGAGGACATCTAGCTGCAGAAAATGTACTGCGGGTAAACTCTACACTAAAAGTGAATCTAGCTGTTTTTGTTATTGTATTTTATTATGGGCTGTTCATTCTTATCTTGTTATTTTTGAATGCTGTAAAAAATTTGGAGGGGAATGTTATATTTGGTGTAGTCCATGTTGAATACGGTGTGCCATGCAGTATAAGCACATTTTGTCCTTTGGGTATTATAAATGAACTTTTTAAAAAATTTACAATAAACAAATTCCATCATCCCATCCATAAACCTATTTGCACCAGCTTAGCCACATGTGAAGACAATGCTTTGGTTTCATTACATCCCTGACAAATGCCTAACGATATGAAGATTACAGTGGCTTTAAACTGTACAAAAATACTGAATGAGAAAATAAATGGTCAGAAGTTCTTCCTCATTGTACTAAAAATGTTTTAGTTTTTGTCTGTGTCCCCTTTGGAAAGATAGCAAAACAAATAGCAAACGCACCCATCAATTCATAACCAGCTTTAAAGCAAGGTGCACATGGAAGGGCTTTCAACAGTACAATAGCAAAAAGTTTCCCAGCGCACTCACCAGCCAGCATATGAAAAAAACTTGTCTAACCATTAAAGTGACATTAAACCCTCAGATTTTTTTAACATAAACCAATACTGTAATGTGCGCCTTACTGTAATCCATGGTATTTTCCCTTCTCTTTGCTGCTCCTCCTTTTAAATCTGTATCTCTTCTCATGCTGGGCAGAACTTCTGTTTGGCAGCAGACTGTAAACCCCCTACCTTGCAAAAAAAAAAAAAAATAGTGTAGCCCCTTTCACCCTAAGTGGAGTGGCTCTTTAAATTTGGTTGTGCTGGAACTGTAATCAGTCTGGCTGATTTGTAGTCTGTGATCATTTGGTCATTTCTAGGTGTTCTGCTATTGTCTGTCCCTACCTGTAGTGGGGTGTGACCCTGCCACAGAGTGGGGCAGCCAATGGGGGAACATTAGGAGTGTCTATGCCTCACCAGCCAATCAGTAGTAGTTTCATAGCCAGTGGTGCTTGCTGGGGAAGTGCATAAATACTCAGGGATTGCCATGTGCTCAGGGCAGTCCATCCCCGGGGATGGATGGTTGGATGGAATGATAGATGGATGGATTGATGGATGGATAGATGGATGAATGGATGGATGGATAGGTGGATGGAGGGATAGATAGATGGATAGATGGATGGATGGGTGGATAGATGGATGGATGAATGGATGGATGGATAGGTGGATGGAGGGATAGATAGATGGATAGATGGATGGATGGGTGGATGGATTGATGGATGGATTGATAGATGGATTGATAGATGGATGGATGGATGGATGGATGGATGGATGGATGGATAGATGGGTGGATGGATAGATGGGTGGATGGATAGATGGATGGATGGGTGGATGGATGGATGGATGGATGGATAGATGGATGGCTAGATGGATGGATGGATGGATGGATGGATGGATAGATGGATGGATGGATAGATGGGTGGATAGGTAGAGGGATGGATAGTTGGATGGATGGATGGATAGATGGGTGGATAGATGGATGGATAGAAGGATGGATAGATGGGTGGATGGATGGATAGATGGATGGATGGATGGATAGCTTGGAAGCTGACTAGGCCTCAAGCCTGGAGAAGGCCAGATATGGACCCAGGAGGAGTCTAGAACTATCTGGGAAGGAGAACCAGGGGAGCCATATGACTGCTGGTGGTTCCAGAAAACCCAAGATGGCATGGACCTGAGGAACAAGTCTGGTGTCTCTCCCAGGGAAGATTGCAAGTATATTATCTATCTAGTTGTGATTATATTATACAGTGTCCTCCTCTGCTCAACTAAAGTATTCCTGCTGGAAGGAATTGGTGAGTCTGAAGTTTATGTTGGCCAGTGGATATCTGTAGCCATATAGCCTCTCCCCCAGTTTTGACTGTTCTATAATAAAGCATCTAAAAAGTGCTTAAAGTGACAGGCGCCCAATTTACTGATTATAACCCACAACCCGACTAAGGACCCACCCCCTAAGAGGCCCCTTCCTTCCTCTGGGGTCCACCACAAGCCTGCAGGGGTTAGGGGGCACTATAATAATAAATATTGCTCTCAAATATTAGGCCATGTATAAACAGAGGTTATTGAAAGTCCATAGTCCAGGGATTGGCAAACTCTGGCCCTCTAGCTATGGTGCAGGTACAAATCTTATGAGGCATTACAAGACTTCAACAGCCACAGGAATGACTCCTAGAGCCAGATGCCTTGTGGGATTTCTAGTTTCACCACAGCTGGGGGGTTGGAGTTTGCCTACCCCTGTCATAGTCGATAGTTGCAGATTTTACTTGAATTCAAAAAAGACACAAATCTTAGTGCTAAATGACAATTTTATTTCACTCTTTCCTATCGCACAAACTGTCATGCAATGACATTATATATAGTGGACATTTTTTGGTCTTTTTGTCTCAATTCATAGCCTTTAATAGAGGTGGGAGAACAAAACCTTGTTGTGGGCTGGACACAGCTGTGGGCGGAGAGGGATTTTGCAATCTTCATTTTGTAGAATGAAATGTTGAATGGTATGATGGCATTAGATATTAGTTGCTGGTGATGGTATCCTCAATCCAGGAGACGAAATTACAGACTTTGGTGTACACTCCAGGATAATTGGGCTGAGCGCATCCTCTTCCCCAAGACACAACACCTTGGAGCTCTCCATTGAGAGCCACTGGTCCACCAGAGTCACCCTGGATCAAACAAAAAACTGGATTAAAAAGAGTTTGGTGTACCTCTATTTATAGCTATAGATCCTCAAATCATCTCTGAATTGATGCTGACACTGTCCTTCCTTCTGGAGGGTGACTACTTTTGTTCCCCATGGATCCTGTGTGTGTTGCAAAGTAGCCACCCGTGATGGACTACAATCTAATGTTTAGTTTTCTAATTCACATGAGATTGTAGTCCATCCCGGGAGCGAGCTTGGATTGGTGGCTACTTTACAACACACACAGGGATCATGGGGAACAAAAGTAGCCCCCCCCTCCAGAAGGAAGGACAGTGTCAGCACCCATTCAGAGATGATTTGAGGATCTACAGCCGAATGACACACAAGTAAGATACATTGTTGCTAATAATTAAGGTACTTGAATGTATTTTTAGGATTTAACTCCTGAGTTCAGTGTCACTTTAAGTGTAGCTGCAATGTACAGAACACATGCCTGCAGATCAAAAGAATCAGGGATCGATCTAGACATGAATTCTGATTTCCACTACTGACTGTGAGAATGGGCAGGACTTAGTTAAACTGGCTGCCTCCTTTCAACAGTTTGTGTTCTTTATATCTAGTGATTACATAGGTGTAAGGTATACATTGTTGATTTGTTAAATACAAGATTGAATTCCACTCTACAGGTTGAACTCGATGGACTTGTGTCTTTTTTCAACCTAATTATGTAACTGTGTAACTCTACTCCTGTCTTGACATTTGTACCTCCATAGAACTTTTTTTTTTATGACATTGGGTTCATTCTTGTTACCTGGCAGGAGTCTTTGCCACCCTCTGGGAAGCCCAAGCAAATCATGTTCTGTGTAATTTGTCCTGGATAAGACTTTGAACAGTCCTCAGGAGACACAACTGGAACATCAACGCACTGCAGAAGATCTGGGTTGGATGCTGAAAGAGATCAAATAATCTTTAATGCCTCCAAAAAGATGAAAAGACATTGAATAAAAAAGAATACTGCGATAAAGAACACACGTATAAAAGTCCAGCTAGACATGAACTTATCTTCAGAGTACCTACTTCATATTTACATTATCCTATCTCAAGAGTATTTTCACAATAAAATGCTTAGTTTGTAAATATTGCATGGGTGTGGAGTCATTATTTTGCTGCTTTTACTGGTTTTGTAACTGAATATAAATGCTAACACTAAACATCCTTTATTTGGGCCATTTTGATCTGGTACATATACTATTAAATGTGTTTTGTTATATCTGTTTGACAAAATACCAGTTGCTCCAACCAGAAATGTTGTGCGCTGAACTTTTTGGAATCTCTGCCTCTACAGCACTGTTGTAAGGTAGCATTTGTAGCCTTGTTTTCAGAGGGGTCATGTCAGGTGACCCTATCCAATCACCTATCCATGCCCACCTGTAACTAGAAGATCTAGATAACTAGAAGATCTTGAGACTCCACAAACTGGGAGAATGGAACTTAAATATATCTATAATGACAGTACTTCAACCCAGCTGGGTCTTGTGCATACCAAGTGGGACCCCAGATGAGAATGACCTTGTCTCCAGTCTTGTTACTCATAGTTCCAGGTTCTCGTGCAGTGATAAAGATATAAAAATCCTTAGATGCCTTTTGAAATATTTATTTAGAATAGTAGAACTGAAAAAAGGGAGGGTTGGAATACCCAAAAATAGTAATATATCCTGGTATCTCTTGCTGACAGTCCCTGTATGTAAGGTCAAGCTTCTCCCTCACAATAAGTAAGAAGTATCTCCTTTCCCACAAAGGTTCTAGTGCATGCTCTGTATCAGGTCTTGACTGCAGCTTGGACTGATGGAGGTCCGAGTGGTACTCCAATGTCCCCATTGATCCATCATGGATCCATGCTGATCCATGATGGATCAATAGTAAGGTCCTATTCCAGTATATAAAAAAGGCCGGAAGTACATAATAGGCCTTGGCAAAAGCCTAGCACATTGAGCAGCAACTCCCAACTGGGGAGTGGTAGAGAGAGAATGAGACCCAGAACTGAGCATGCTCAGGGGTTTTGTTATAGCCAACCCCTCCAACTGATGACACTCTCTGCAATTATTGGCTTATCACAAAATCACAGCCAATACCCCTCCTACTGACAACACTCTCTGCAATGATTGGCTTATCACAAAACCCCAGCATAGTTTTTCACAGGAAAGTCTGGTGGACGAAGCACATAAGTGACTCATGAGCACACCCTACTACTGAAAAATAGTAAATACACATAGCCCGAAAAATACACTGCACTAGTACAGGAGGTGTTAGGGGTAAATCCCTACCACATTGTTCCCAGCAATCTCTGTGAACTACAGAACACGCCCTCGTTATGTTATGGATAAGAGAAGAGGAGGAAGTGTTCTGTAGACCTAATATGCTTTCTGTCCTAAGATGACAAAGCTGCTCTGCTATAGATATAGTACCATAAGTGAGTGGTGTCACCCTAGGACAGAAGGTGCGTTACTGGTAGAATCGCCAGGTAAAAATGATTTAAAAAAACATGAAACAACTACATAGCTATGGACTGGTAACCCAAAATATATCAAATTTTTGTTCTTGGGTTTATAAAAGCTTTAAGATGGCACAACTCACTCATAAGGGGCACCTATAGGACACCAATGACATATTGACATATATCTACTTATACTATTGTCCAAATGATGAACATAATACAAGTCCAGGTATGGGCAATAATGTAAATGATAATGCAGAGACCACCAAAAGTCACCTTTTACAGTTACTTCTCATTCAGAAAACATCTGGTCCTGCACATAAAACGGCAGGGACGGAATCAGTGCATTGTTGGTAGAACTAAACCTGAAAGGAAACCCGTGCTGAGAGAAAAATGTAGACAACTACTGCAGACCTTTCCTTCTGGAAATCCTAGATGCCTGGCTGGTATGTTGTTAGCATAGGTTCAGTAAAGGCAGACCAGTTCTGACAGCCAAGCACCTAGCATTTTCAGAAAAAGGACAGCAATGATAGCTTTCATATCTCTTTTAGCACAGATTATCTTGAAGGATTGTCTCCTTGCTACCTTCAGACCCTCCAATGTGGCTCTCTTTCTAAGTATGTGGTATTTTAGTAGAATGCGGTAGAAGGGCAGCATTCAGTTCTCACCGGTGTTCATAGTGTTCCCCCAGCCAGATACCAGACATATGGCTCCAACAGCTGCACACTGAGATGGGAGAGGGATGGGTTGAACAACTTCATTTAGCTGGACTGGCTCGGACAGCTTGATCAACATGATGTCATTGTCAATGGTGTAGGCGTTGTAGTCCTTATGACGGATGACCTTTGCCGACTGAATGAACTGTTCTGTTCCATCTTCAGCTCTGATGTCATATTCTCCGATTCTGACTTCGATGCGTCTGGACACGGGAGAAAAACAGACAAGCGGTATTCCTTTTCATGCATTTCAAGTGCTTTATGGAACTTAAGACAGGCAGATTTTTTTAAAATATACATGAGATGAATGAAAACATAGTCAAGATAAATATTAGCAGTTCCTGTACATGTATTTTGGGTTCAACCATTTCTTGGGAAAATGGTAATTGGTCAGGCTCACGGAAAATACACTCTACTTACGACTTGTAGCAGTGAGCAGCAGATACAACCCATTGCTCATTGATTAGGGATCCTCCACAGAAGTGGTACCCGGAATTCAGGGAGACTTGGTATGGCACGTTGCAGGTGTATCCACCTACTATCTTGTCATCATCATCAAAAGGGATTGCCGCTGGAAAGGAATATAATTAAAAGTTAAACAATGGTTACCTCCCCACTCAAAGACTGTTGATTAGATAAGGAAGGTCCTTTCTCTTTCAGTCCAAGAGTACAGGTGATTAGGATAAATGTATATTAAAACAGCCCCCCCCCCCCCCACAAGTCAATGAAAAAGCAATTTAACACAGCTCAAAAACACTCAATAGCAGCTCAAAGCATACAATATTTGACTTGCTTCTACAATGTAAGTTTAGTGTTCAAAAACATTGTGAACTCAGAAAGAGAGATGGGTGTAGTTTTCCTCCTGTCTCATATGTGACTTGTGCACAAACTTTTCTGTTGCTCCTCTACCACTCAGCTGGAGTGAAGGAATTCTCAGTGTAGGCTATAAGTCACTGGAGTCATAACTTACACAGGGCTATGAACTCCTTTTGTGACAGCACTGGAGGGACACATGTGTTCCTTCATACCCGGGAGTCATGGTACATCCTTTGGTTCCCAGACTGAACAGAGCAGAGGGATGATGGAGAAAAGCTAAGTGGAAGTATATGGGGGATTTAAATAAACCTGCTTATTTGCTCTAAATGGGCAAAGGACAGGTTTGCTGTAAACAACTCAAAGGCAAAATAATCAAACAAAGGAGCAAGTCAAAGCAATTCAGAAACATCTGAAAGCATACTGTATTTGACTAGCTTTTGAGTCGGATGCCCAGCTACATGGATCATATGGGTGCAATTTTTGTGTCCAAGTAATTAAAAGGTTTCAAGCGAATATGCCCATGGTTGACAGTGATAGAGGAGGTGGGCTCTCTCTCTCCACACCACTCACTACACCACCAACAAATACGATTCTCTAGCCAATCGGGACACCTTATGTAGGATATCTAATAAGAAGGTTATATGGGCGACCCCTGGGAGATTGGACTTTTGGTTTCCAATACATTGTGGACTCCCTCCTATGACCGTTGTCTTTGCCCACCAGGTCTATTAACAGATGTCCTGGCTCACATTTAATGTGAACTAGCAAATCAAATCCTTAGAATACACATGAAGATGCAGACAAGGATCCGTGAAACACATTGAGTGCAACACTTCCAAAAGCTTAATTTCTATCAGCAATGTGTGAATCACTATATAGAAAAGGGTTTGATATTAATTGTCTGCATGACATGTATGCTGGATAAGAATAATTTAAGGCTATTCTGTGTATGTTTGTGAGCCATATTCATGAATTTACCTGAAAACTTATTGTTTATGGTTGTATATAGTTATAATAAAAATACACTTTTAACAGATTTTAATGTCTTGTGTGGGTAGCTCGGGAAGCATTGTATATTGATGAAGTGACACGCTGTGAAATAATTGATTCTTACAATGATCATCTTAAATGAGTAATCCCTCTTCAGGCAATTATAGATCATTGTTGAATTAAATTTAATTGCATAAAAAGCTTAGAGCTAAAGTTATAGTAATACTCACCTGCAAAGCCCAGAACACAGAGAAGTAGAAGGGTCTTCATGATGCTGAATCAGTTGTGTCTTCCCTAGCCTCATTCCAGTCTTTATACCTCTGCATCTTTCTAATCTTATTCCTAACCTTATCTTATCTGTTCACATGTCAGATACATGGAACCCAGCAGAGGAAAGTGAAGTAAGCAGGTGTTCAGGGTTGGCACTCATTTTATTAGGCAGCTTTCCCAAATGTTTTATGATAAGAAGACATTGCTCACAATGCCAGTGCTTCTTGCTCTGCTTTTCCTAACCGGGAACCATTTTTGCTCTACACTAGAAACGGCACCTCTTAATACTTTAGTAATATTATGAACCTGGTGGGCGAAGTGTCAAATAGAAATATAGACACCGGCACCCCAATGACAAATCAAATATGTCTATTTGTTGACGTATAAGAAGCATAGCGTAATACACTCAGTGCAACCTTTTCGGAGTCTCAAAGGATCCCCTTCATCAGGCAGAAACAAGTGAAATCACATTCCTCCCAGTGCCGAGGGCATGTAGCCTGGTATGGCAATGAGGGGG